CGAATTTTGCAGTGAACAGCAGCTAGTTTATTGTGCACCCCATACTCATCGTGTGAGCGGTAGCGTAAAAAAAAATATGACTGAGTATAGGCCACAAGGGTGTTTCACAGACCCCAGTGGTCAGGATATTGTGGCGAGTGTTACAAAGTATTTACATTATTTTTTTTTGTTCGGTATATAGTTTGTTTAAGCACTAGATGCGAAGTGTGGATACAGCCTTAGTATATCAGCTATCTTGCCATCAGGGTTAAAGTGCTGTGCCACTGCAAACCAGCGTGCTTGAAGCTATCCTAATAACGTTTTATTTTTCACAATCTAAGACGTAGTGTTGGAGTGTGTGGCCATATGTCTGGCCACACACTTTGCATTTAGTTTTCTTCACATCTGCCTGAGGTACTTATATCTTAGCTTTAGTCTAGCGGTTACATCATCTTATAATCTAGTGATCTTGTTACTTGCTCCATACACATGTTTTACTTGATACATCTCGTCGCGGTATATATAAACAATATATTTACTAGTGCCTGTTTGTACTTGAAGGTCTTCATTAACGTCTCATCACAATGAAAGGGTTAATAGACTCTGTAATAGTTAACTATAAATACTTCTCATGAGTCAGGGTGTAATGGATGTACTCGAGTGTGAGGGAGGGAGGAAGAGAGACAAACAGGGAGAGGGAGGAAGAGAGATAGGGGAGTCTCAGGTAGTGCTAAAATCCTCACACTTTCAGTCATTTACCTGTCACTCTTTTATTAACTATCTCTCTATGGTTCATCGTTTATCATCTCTTGTCTCTAGTGTGAGTCAACACCACCAGACACTTTATGGTACTATTGGGGGAGCGTTGACGTGTACCCAGCTTACTGTCACAGCCGAGGAGGATGGTGGGTGGCTAATAATATTAAAGTGTGAATATTACGCGCGTGTGTGTGTGTGTGTGTGTGTGTGTGTGTGTGTGTGTGTGTGGCCTCAACCACTACAGGGTCTGCTACACGTTACAGTGACACACCCAACCTGATTCACTCACACCTGCGGCTGCGTCCCTCCATCACCACCGTGTTCAATTCAATTACAGTACATTTCAATAGTTTATACCTGGCAAGTGTCACAAGTACATACAAATATTACAAAGGGGCTTACTAAAGCCTAAGGAAAGAAGTATGGGGAGGATCATTGTGTCTCCGTCCGGGGGTCGTGGAGTGGTGGTCCAGCAGGCGTCACAGTAGCATTGTGTGTGGGGACATCTTAGGAGGTAGTGGACAAGGGTGCGGCTGTCGGGTCTTTTGCATAATGCACTAGCGCGTTACTCAGAGGAGGCAGGGATACCAATCTCCCAAGCAAATTCATACCCAATGATGATACGGGCAGCAATCACGTCCCTTTTCCGCGACCCTTTCCCATAGACGTACGAGAGGTCAGGGAATCACCACTGTGTTTGGTGGCAACATGGTCGGAGCTTAATCCAGGTTATGTTGTTATCTTCTAATAAAATTTATTATTATGTGTTCAGGCATTATTAACATTATAAAAAGGTAATATTCAGCCCCATTAAACGAGTTTCCATAATTATATTTTTTAATGTGTTTTAAATAAAATTCAGTACAGCCATAGTTATTTATATTGAATAAAGAAAAACACTGCATTAGTTGTTAAAAAAATATAAATATCAGTAAAGAAATTGTCTAAACCTTCTCACACAAGTCCTGTAAAAGATAAATATATAACGATTGCAAGAGACAAAGTTTACGAGATGTGATTCAGTTTATGAAGATCCTGAACTTTATTATCGATAATTTCAAACACGTTCTTATATTTTATCTATAATTAGTTACATATTAAAATGTTACCTTACTTACCTTACTTTACAAGAATATGAGAGGTTCCGAGTCTTACTGTAGGTGAGGGTTTTTTTTTAATTCACTCATTATTCCAGATGATAAATTATTTATTGACCTGTCAGTCTCGCCTCAGTCAGGTTGTGCTTAGAGTGAGGAAGTACCGCTGCTCACCCACACCACCTCACAACACCCTCTCTGACAGGAACACTCCAGCTACTGCCTGCCAGGGAAGACCTACAAACTTTGTGTGGAAGGCTGGCATGTCACGAGTGGCAGCCAGTGTGTGGCAGACGGAATAAAATAAATAACCGTAAGATAATTTCCGACTTCTCTTAGAAACACTGTTATTGAGTGTCATTGTTATATATAGCAGATGTGTACTGACAACACCTAAAAGAAAAGACTTAAGCCTCACACACGACATATTCACTACACGGGTAAGAAAGTCAATGAGTGAATAACCACCTCACCAAATATGTTGTCCACCCCAGTCTCATTCTCCTCCCGCGGGAAAACACGACTTGGTCACACGTCCCTCTTGTAACAACCAATTATCTATCCTCACATCTTCACGTAACTGCAAACCAACTCTAAAATCCAAGAAGCAGAGAGCAAGTGTCAGAATGGTGAAGCTGCGTGGCTCTACATCCTCCTACTCAAGCTTTTAGGAATTTTATCGTTGCTTTTAAGGTCGACGATATTTCACCTTCTGGCAACGTGGTCACCCGAGACTGTCTAGAATCTCAAGATATTTAAGTTTAGTGCAATTGCTTCTCTTCAGGGGGAACTAAGAGGATAGTGGCTGTGCAACAGTCTTCAACTCCAGTGGAAGTTGACAGCCAAGTTCTCCTTTTCCTTATCATAAGTCAAGTGTCTGAGGCAGAGAATAATAGTTGATGTCACTGATACAGTCGTCTACTTATTACAGAAATGTGTGTTTAAGTCTACCCTCCATGCTCTCTAGCAGGTAACCAAAAGGAATCTATCGACTAGGAAAAATGAATAAACAGATGCAAACATGAGGTTGTCCAAGGTATTACTGTAGTCATCAGATCCGCAGACCAGACGGTTAGCGAACTGTATGACGACTTATACCAGAGTGTAACTTAGACGACAACAACAACAATAATACTTTATAAGGAGTTCCAGTAAACACTCTCAGGCAGATATTAGGCTAAAAGTCGCTGGTGGCGGAGAGTTAGGATGGGTGCATCTTAGTGTCGACGAGGACGGTGAGGAGGAGCTATGCCTTACAGCCCTCACCTCCTGGGAACTGTCGTCTCTTGTTCTACCCTGACATTAATTTTATTTTCGTCCTCGGTTTTATATTTTATTTCCCTGATCTTGTGTTGGCACCGTGTGGGTCAAGGATCCCCGTGATGGTCCATTGTGGTGAGAGAGTCACTGCACGGACCTGAGGCCAGGGGAGAGATCAGTGGCTTCCTTGTCACTGAGCTACATTATAACATTGAAATAAAAGCTGTTCACACCTGTGCTGTCATATCTGGCTTATTTTTCAGTTAAATTGATTGTGTTTTACCCTCGTCGTCTTCATTATTCTCGGTGTTAGACTGGGTGTGTTAACTCCACTCCCAGTTGGCGCTGTGTGTGGTGGACGCTCCTTTTGGATAAGCACAAGAGAGGTGTTTGCCGGCCCGGGCGCCGTAGTGGAGGGGGGGGGGGGGCATAAACACACACTACAGCTGATGTCACCGAGACGTGGAGATGCTGCACCAAGAGGTACTCTTGCCAGTTTTGTTTTACCGGCCAAATCAACGGTCTTATTTTTTTTTTCTTACGAGTTGGCTGGCGCGACAACACCATCTGGATTAATACAGTACATTAATTTTAACTTTCTCTTTTGATGATAAATGTTACTAGGAGGAGTTTTCATTGGTTCTTCCCCATCATGGTAAGTCACCCATCTCTAGGGGCTCTTCGGGAACTTTCATTGCCATCTCTCACACTGTTTCCTCACTCCTATGGGAGACACTCAATGGGTTAAACCATCATCCTCAGTACGTCCCTCGTCTCCTCGGTATAGAACAAATAAGTTACCCATGACCTGTGTTCTGAGTCTGTTGTGTGGAGCAGTTCTTTGTCATGACTCTTGACGCACTATTGTGTTTTATTTATGTCATGTTCATATACATATTCTGGGCATTTACCTTCGCTTTTTTGTATTCTTTGTTGAGTCTACCTTGGTTTAATGCGCCCCGTCGAGAGGGTAGTGTAATCATTTTGTGTATGTATGTATGTATGTATGTATGTATGTATGTATGTATGTATGTATGTATGTATGTATGTACCGTATGTATGTATGTGTGTGTGTGTGTGTGTGTGTGTGTGTGTGTGTGTGTGTGTGGCAAAACAAGTGGTTAAAAAAAACCCATTAATTCTCTTCTCGTCTTAGGTTCTGTAAAACCCACCATATCCACCAGCCGTTCTCTGACTCACCCACCTGTACATGACTCACCCACCTGTACATTGTTGCTAAGAGAAGCCACGTGGTGATCCTGGTGACTGTGTAGTGGTGAAGCTCCTGGTGTAGTGGTGAAGACTCTTGGTGACTGTAGTGGTGAAGCCTCCTGGTGACCGTGTAGTGGTGAAGCTCCTGGTGTAGTGGTGAAGATTCTTGGTGACTGTAGTGGTGAAGCCTCCTGGTGACCGTGTAGTGGTGAAGCTCCTGGTGTAGTGGTGAAGACTCTTGGTGACTGTAGTGGTGAAGCCTCCTGGTGACCGTGTAGTGGTGAAGCTCCTGGTGTAGTGGTGAAGACTCTTGGTGACTGTAGTGGTGAAGCCTCCTGGGCTGACTTACCTGTGTTTCTCTGTCGTACTTGGCCGATCCGCTCACATAGTCGCGGACGTGGGGTCACATGGGTGTCGACGTTGAAAGAAACTGTTGGTGCCACAAAACCCCTCATTCAGTTTTACACCAATTTCGTCGTCTCATTTGACCCCTACCTGGTGTTGACAGCAGCTAACTACGCATGATGTTTTGGTGCGTGTTGCGTAGCTCAGCCACCACTGTACGCACCTTGGCACGCCCTCCCTCACCACTGGCACCTTCTACCCCACCCAACTGCGCGTCATCCCCCCCCCCCTTCTTCCTCCTCCCACCTTCGGAGCCACGACGCATGGGCGGGATATATAAGGTGGAGGCCGCCGCCACTCCCCTCAGACAACAACGAAGACTTCACTGTGATCTGTACCAAGACTAACAACTCTAGACAAGAAAACAAAGGTGCACCGGGACCTTAACTCTCTACCATGAGTACCACGTGAAAAAGTGGTCTTGTTCTCGTGTTGCTCAAGAAACTAGCAGAAGACGAAGGAAATCGGTGCCCACAAGACTGTTGTTTCGCCCCTGGAGGCTGTACAAGGATTACACACCCCGCCTGCGATAATCTGTGACACCCTTAACTCAGCTTACCGTCCGCCGCGAGGACAGCCGAAACGTAAGTGTTCACTAGTGTTGCTTCCCGCTTTACAGCAATCAAAACCCGCGCCTCAGCTGCCTGGTAGGTCGACCGGCCGCGAGGTAAACAAAAGTGGCCCCACAACCTTAACATGCATTTATGAATTCCTCCGGGTAGTAAATAAACATGGTGTATTTGGATGACATTGTGGACATTAATGTTACACAAAGGTTCAAGAAGTAAACCATTTTTTAATAATGTTTGTGGGTGAATTACAGAAGTATGTATAGCATACAAATATAAAGTTATGCTAAATTGTCCACATTTGAAGAGATTCCATATTCATACGCTTTTTGACAAACTAAAAATAACAATAACTGTAGACTGAATGCATTAGAAAACTCTTATTCGTCATAACAATACAATACCTTATATCACAGTAACGCTTTATAAAATATTAACAGCATTAATGAATTACTTTGAATCGTCACTGAAAGCGAAACATATTTTCTATACCTATCAAAGGTATACTATGTTATCTCGTATAATATTTATTTTGGTCTTAAATAACTGTTAAACGTTAAACCACCCTAAAACCAAACCATAAATCATTGTATGATCAGCCTCGTGGACGGACAATTGGACCATGAACCACAATCACCGGTTGTTTGGGCCACGGTGGTTAGGACATTTGGGCCATGGGTCAAAGTTAACTACTGTATAAGAAAAAAAAATAATTCAATATATTGGTCTTGGTGATGTGATGTGATGTGACGTGATGACTTGAAGGTTCCCAGGGGTATTAAGGTGGATTACAATTTACCGGTTTGAATACTCCGTATGTTTCCTGTTGGCCGCTGTAGACGCTTTTACTCTTTGTCTTGCACAGGAAGCCATGGGGGGTGCCCAATAAACTAGCCCCCTCGCTAGGCAAATCTGAAATCCGAATCTGGTTTGAATATAGTTGTCTGCCTTTTTTTTTTACAATTTACATACCACATCTATTAAACAGTATGGTAGCATTTTATCAGTATATTTTCTTTTCTTTGTGTAAATCTCCATCCTTAGGCGTAATAAAATCCCATGGCCCAAACGTCCACCCTTCACACAGCTCGTGGCCCAAGCGTCCCGTGACCCAATTGTCCTACCACCGATTTGCCCATTCTCTGCGTCAGGGTAATTCCTCACGCTGAATATCGTAAATAATGATTGCGTCACACCAGAACGGGCAGCTGATCGTGTAAACACGGGACCACGTGGTCACCAGCTAGCACGCCCAAATGAGACGCTTAAAATAACTACTCTTCCTTGTCAGATTTGTCGAGGGTGTGAAGTAAGCAGTTCTTTGTACAGTATCAGAGTTAATTCAAGTTTTCCCAGGCGATGTGTTTTAGAAATGACACAGAGAGAATTATACCAGACGGGAAAATACTGTAATGTATAGTCTTGTTAGATATGGTTGAGGGACAGTTCACAACATAATATTAAGATAATGGTTTATTTGGTAATGATATATCAACATAAGGTTTTTGAGTAAGCGGAACTGTACTATTCTACTTGTAAAAAAGTTTTGTTTACAACTTGTCGCATTTTCAATATATAGAAATATCACGAAGGCGGATTTCCCCTTATTTAATAATATGCAGAAGTCATTGCCATTTGAAGATGAGGTTTTAGCTATGAGTTATGACTAACACGAGTTTCTGGGACACACTCCAGTCTTGATGCTGAGTAATGTAAGTCTTGCTGCAAAGGGGTGCCCAATAAACTAGCCCACCACGGAGAAAACTTGAATCTGAAATCTGTCTTGATTTTGTGCACAAACGAGTGACATAAGAACATAAGAATGGAGGAAAGTGCAGTGGGCCAATTGGCCCATACTGGGCAGTCCCATTTACACCCAACCCCTATCGCTCATATATCCACCCAACCTATGTTTGAAGCTATCCATCGTATTCGAGATAGTGAAAATGTTTGGTTACTTGTTCCACTCATCCACTACTCTATTTCCAAGCCAATGTTTACCTATCTCGCGCCTAAATCTAAATTTGTCTAATTTAAACTATTGTTACGAGTTTGTTTCTGGTTGGACAGTTTGAGTACCTTCGTTATATCAGTACCTTTGTGACGACATACAAACACGCAGCAACACGTGTTTGTGTGAGAATAACAAAATCAAAACAACACCAGTATACATAAAATAATCAATGCATTGATTTTCGTTTGTTTTTGTCTCGTATTTGCAACTAAGACTTAGACCCCAGCCGTCAAGGCACGTCGATACTTGAGAAAAACACAATCACGTGTTAGGCTTTGGGTGACGTTTCAAAGGGAAGCTAGATAGATTCATGGATGATAGAGAGTGGTAGTAACTCTCGACAGGAGCTGCCATGCACAGGCCAACCGGCCTATTGCAGACTCCTTATGTTCTTATGTAAACAAAGACACACATAAAAGCATAGCAGACCAGCCTGTTGAACTGATGCCATCACCCACTACGCACCTCCTCATAATACGCTAATAACATCTTCATTAACCTCGTAGCGTAGAACCTCTAACCAGGCAACATAGAACTATTAACCACGCAACATTAAGCCATTAAGCACACAACAGAGCCATTGACCACGCAACTAGAGCTATTAACAACGCATTATAGAACCATTAAACACGCAATGTTGATCCAATAACCACGCAACATAGAGCCATCAAGGTTAAAGTTTAACCTGAGTCATTAACTCAGCGCACATTACTCACAAAGAATGAAGATGCTGTAAAAAGCCTCACCTGAGCTCACCAGCCAGGTTGGGAAACCATAAGTTATTCCTGGCACTTGGCCCCTTCCCTGTGACGTGGCACCCTAGTAAAGTCGCGTGGTGTTGGCGCACCTCACGGGCGCTTCCCATGGCAACGAGGTAACGGCGTAGTAACCTTTTGATGGTGTGGCGCAGGTGCGATGCTAGGAAGGGTGTGAGCAAGGTGGGATGGGATATGAGGGAGATGGAACAGGGTGGGTCATGTGAGTTCCTGGTGAGGAAGGTTGTGTCGACAAAGGCAGGGTAGGTGGGAGAGGGTGCCAGGAGAACTACTGCCAAGAAGTGTCATCCGCACTCTCAACCACTTGTGTTGTTTTCCTTAAATTAAAACCAAAAATTAATGTTTTCCTCTTATTGATATCTTTGTACATTGTCAGCTTATATTCATTTTTATTCTTGATGATCAGAACAACGCTTAGGCTGTTCAACCAGGAGAACATAGACAGAACAGGAAGCACAACAGTGACTAACAACAAGGACAGGCGGGGTAGAGGAAAGACGCTCACAACAGACAGTGTGGCGGCTTTTGTGCTACTGTGTGACGTCATGGCTGGGGCACTAACCCCTCCCCTCCCTCTTGAACACGCTGGTCTGCGACCCCCCTTATGTTCCTTTCCCCACCCCACACACACCTGGGACCACCCCCGTCACTCACACCTGGGACCCCCCCTCACACACCTGGAACCCTCCCCTCACACACCTGGGAACATCCCCCATGCACACCTGGGACCCTCCCCCTCACACGTCTGGCACCCTCCTCCTCACACACCTGGGACCCTCCCCTCACACACCTGGGACCCTCCCCCACGCACACCTGGGACCCTACCCCTCACACACCTGAACATAAGAACATAAGAAAATAAGGAGTCTGCAATAGGACGGTTGGCCTGTGCATGGCAGCTCCTGTCGAGAGTTACTACCACTCTCTATCGTCCATGAATCTATCTAGCCTCCTTTTAAAACTTTTCCAGTATTCCAGCACTTACTACATAGTTGCTAAGCTTGTTCCACTCATCTACCACCCTATTTGTGAACCAGTTTCTTCCTATCTCCCTCCTAAACCTGGACGGTTATTAATTGCGCTCATTACGAAAATTGGGTCGATATTATTTCTGATAGGGGATGTCATTCACCATCCCAGATGGAGCAGTTCTCATTACTCTTCAAATAGACCACTTACGACTTTTTTTTTAGTTTAATTTGATTTCCATACATTTTTACACATAAATTATTTGGATTAGTTATCTTAAAGGCATACCTTTTATGATGGTTAGGAGAATTTGGAGGATATAAGCGGCGATGAGGCAAGTAAAGGCTGGCGGATGTTCCTAAACAAACATGGAATTCTTTTAAAAAGAACACTAAATTTCTTCATGTGCTGTTTTATCTGGAGGATATCTTATAAGAAATAATATTCCTTTGCAGATTTATACATTTTATGTGCATCCAATTCAATTTTCTTTCTTTTGGTTTCAAAATATAGTTCCATCGTAGTGGCCATCGGGCGGGTACGAGTACCAGGAAATTCTCCCATGTTCCAGTTCCAATAACGAGTAGTATATATATATATATATATATATATATATATATATATATATATATATATATATATATATATATATATATATATATATATATATATATATATATATATATATATATTTTTTTTTTTTTTTTTTTTTTTTATAGCCCAGAACACTTCTTGCACAACAACCATGGAGCTACTACAGCATGGTATACACCACGGACCTTCTTGCAATTGGCCCTTAATTACACGCTCTATTTTAGTGTCGTCACCAAATTTACTTATGTTCCTATCTACGCCTATATGTATGTCGTTTATACAATAATTTTATTGGTCCAAGGCCCAAATGCAAGATCAGCCGTGGTGTACACCAGGCCATGGTATCCCGGCGGTGGTAATACAATGGAGTGAAAATTTTGTGATTATTCAAGATGGGCCATGGTGGTACCCGACCGTCGTTTGTTGTTACTACGTCATCGTAGTGTAGTCAGGTGTACCAACCGGCGGAAGACTTGGGGGTTGGTATGCTTGTACCCTGAAAACGTTGTCAGTGGCACGAAACGTTTGCTCTTGCTACACGATTTACGAGCATAAAAAACTTGAGTCCCAAGCTAAGGTGCACCTCATTTTCCTATTTTCTTGGCTCATAAGCCAATTCTGGGAATGAAATACGATCACTACAATGAATATAGGTAAATAAT